CTGCCTTCTCTTCCTAACACGTAACTGGGTGACATAACCGGTGTTGACACAGAAACACACAAGGTTATAACAAAAATCAAACTAATTAAGTAAACTAAACTAGTACCTTCGATTCCGTGAGACAGAATTCTGGGTGGGAAACCTACTCGACTTTTACTGAGGCAACATCTGGTGGATGAACACTCACTGAGCAGCAGTCTGTCTAAGCTTTAAAGCCAACTCCAATTCTCTGATTCCAAATCTTAAAGCTAACCCCATACCTCCATTCCCATCATTAGCTAATCCTAAACTTCGTGCGTACATACCGCAAACCCGTCTATAACCGCCAAAGAGATTTCAGGCCGGCGTAATCATGATTACACACAAGTTGTTACAGTATAAAGTCACATAGGTAATTTGTAGTTTCTATTACGGGTGCATTGGTAAACATCTAATGGCAGCATCTTCTTTTTGTGAACATTAGTATTCTAGATGGCCTCAAAAAACGCAAAGGTGTCTTTCAAAATTCGCGGATACAGACTACCTCGAGGCGGTTGTAACTTTTCTACAAGCCATTGTGCAATAGCGTGATGCGACGTAAACAAGAGAAACTCACCCTCCTCGGGGAAACTATTTCATGAAATATTATGCAAAAGGGGTACGTCCGTTGATCGTGGCAGCGTTGGCGAAATTTAGGAAATTGGTATAAGCGGATGCAACGAAAACATTAAGGTGTAAGCGAGAATGGAGGTTACTCACCAGCTCATCGTTAGCAGCGTAGAGACGTCTGGCCAGGAGCTTTCCCGACTGGATGGCTACCGGGGTCAGCTTGAGACCACGAGCGTTGATGTCACCGAGAGCGTAGATGTTTGGAACATTAGTGCGTTCCTCTTCATCAGTCTCAATGTACTGCGAACTAAAAAAAGAAATATGGCAACATGACAACTGAGGTGTAGAAACGTCGATTAATACAACCCTTAAATATGCAAAAGCGAGTCTGATTGCCTGTACGTCGCTGGATATGCGATGGAAAAAGGTCGACCAAACTGGCTGAATAGAGCTTGAAGTGCTCTGACATCCGCGCCACACCTCTTTCTAGAAAGATGTGTCAGTCACCGAAACAGCTGATTGTCTCCGAGAACATCAATCGAGGCGCCAATGAGCATACCAACTACCTCACTCAACTAACTATTACTAAAATGCATAGTAAATACGCCGATTCCTCCTGACGACTTTTATAGAAAAGTAGATTGCCTTGCTGAGTAAGTTGCCTTGTAATCAAGATTAAGTTGCACAAATTTCAGCACAACGACAAAATCGCTGGGCTGAGACATTATAGTGGCTATTTAGATGGTATTTTTGCAAGTCAAACTACACAGAACCAACATAACTGTTCGCTTAGGTGCTGTTAATCAGGCGCAGCCCTCAATCTATTTCATGCTGGAGATGGAGACGACAGGATCGCATACCCTCTTAGACGTACACTCCCCAGCAGAAAGCCTGACCGTGTTTTGCGAAGGAGCTCATATCGGAAGAAAACCTCGTTTCACAAGATACGAACTCCCATAATGTTCTACCCCTAAGCCAGAAACGCAAAGACGTTCCTTGTTTGGTATGAAGGAGCAAAAACAATGGTTAGACAGGTAACATCTAGGAGCTCAGGAGGATCTAGAACCCGTTTCATGCAAATGGATATTCGAGCCGGTTTGCTGCCAAGAACACTGCCTACAGTACAGCAGTAAAGTCGCTCTTAGGGGAGACGGATCGGACGTCTGCAAAGACGCCTTTAGCAAACTGTTTTACCGACCTCTCAAGCAGCAAAAAATCGGGCATTATTCTCGACGGGAATCCTAAGTAACCACAATGTGCATTAATCCCCATCATCTGCTCATGTGAAGCAAGTTATATTGGTCTTATAAAACGGTGTCTACCCAAATGTACACCAGAAACAATCACCAACATAGTTTAGAAAAGGAGTACTCAGGACCGTAAGCAGTGCCATCTCTGCGCATACATATGAATGAACATTGGCGTCAAGTGGGCCTCAAACAAAGTCCTCCAAGTTCTACCTAAAATCCCCCGGACAGCGTATACTGCGCAAAGGCAGCAACGACCACGATGCGCACAGAAGCGCATCGTGCCGGCATCGCAGAATAACTGTGGTTGGAAACAGTCAACCTGTTAACTGCATGTACTCTTCCTGGACGTCCCCCCCCCTCCCCCCTCCGCTGCCGACAAG